TTCAAAAAATTAGCAGTGCAACTTATCTTCTGTCAACCAATCTATTGGGTAGCAAGCATGCTCCACTTAGACATCACTTCTTCCAGGAAGCCTTCCTATCTCCTGCCTTTGGTGCCCCTTGGCATCATCTACCTAACTTGTCTTCTTACCAGATATTAAAATTCCTAGTTTCATCTGTCTCCTGTAGTAGACTACATAAGCTTTGCAAGATCATCTTGTTATACTGCTTTATGCACAGCTCCTAACACATTGCAGGCATTAAACATGGATGAATATTAATATATTCTCTATGCCCAGTGCCTAACACACATGAATGAATATGAATATATTCTTCGGGATGCAAGGAATGTATTCAACTGTTTCCTACCAGGAGGCTCTATCAAGAACCAAGAGCAAAAATTGAGAGGATAATTGCTTGCGTCTGTTGAGGGGCTACACAGCACCTGTCTTCAGGGGAGTCATTACAGTTGCTCAAAAATCTCTATTCAGAGCTTTGTATGGGCCAGATAGGAACTAAGAATAACAAATAGGCAAAAGAAGAGTATCATTTTAAAAATGGCATCTAGATCTACGATCATATGCTACCTAGGCTGGTAGAGTGGGTGGGTAGCCACCATCATGTCCAAGTGCAAGTGAGGGGCCACTGCTACCTCAGTGCTACTGAGCCAGTTTCTCCTGAAGGGGCCTTGCAACCGTTCTTGGTTAAGTGTCACAAACAGGGTTGCAGGAGTGCAGGCCAGATTTAAGCCAGAAGGTAGAATCCCCCAACCTCCCATGTAGCAAACCCCCTGGTTTGTCTGAAGGGAGCAATGACTCAACACTGTGGGTTGGCCACAGCTAGTTTCCTGTGCACTCTTTTTTTTTTTTTTAAAGATTTTATTTATTTATTCATGAGAGACAGAGACAGAGAGAGAGAAGCAGAGGGAGAAGCAGGCTCCCAAGGAGCAGGGAGCCCGATGCGGGACTCGATCCCAGGACCCTGGGATCATGACCTGAGCCGAAGGCAGACGCTTAACCATCTGAGCCACCCAGACGCCCCTCCTGTGCACTCTTGACAATAGGGGTAAGCTCCACTCTTTCCTGGCACAACTCCCCCAGGATGGCTCCAGGTCAAAGGTAGTATCATCCAGGGTTGTAAGAAGTGTTCATTATAACCACGGGGATAAATAAACTCCCAAGAAAGCATCAACAGAGGAGGGGGCAATGACTGGTCTAGAGGACAAACTGCTACTAATGAGAAATAAGGAATATCTGAAAATTGTGAGAAAGAATGGCTTTGCAAAATTGTTTGCAGAAGCGTCCTAGAAACTAGAGTGCTCAGTTGCATCAAATATAGCTGAGAGGCCAAGAAAACAAACATCTAGTGAGCCCTCTGTACCAAGCATGGTTACAGTTTTTCTCTTTACCACCTTTCCAGCAGCAGCGCCCACTGAACCTTCTGTGAAGAGACGGCAACTGGTACACCACCCTCCAATCATGCCGGACCTTCATGAAGTGTTCTCATCCCTCTTGTCCACAAACTGGTATCTCCTTCAAAAGTCAAACCACTTCTAAGACTATTCTTAACTGAACCCTCTTACTTTATCCAGCATCTTCAACTACATTCAGAAGTTTTATAATTTGCATTTTCCCCCATCACCGCATTGCTGGTTCATTTGGTTGTTTCCAGCTCCTACATATTTGGCACAACCGTTCAGACTGCTTGCGAGATGTCACGCTCAGCTCCAGCACAGTTCTTCCTCCTACTACAGAGGAGGACGCAGGAGGACACAGCAACAAGCCTGGGCTCTTGGAATCAAGACATGCTTCTGCTGCCAGCTCTGAGGCAGGTATTGTCCAGGAAGCTTTGATGACAGCACCCTAGAGCGCCGACCCAACACTTAAAAAACCTTTGGGTGATCACTTAACCCTTTTAAACCCATTTCTTGTTCCGTAAAACAGACAAGTGCCTCTTCTCACAGGGGGTGATAGTAAAATTGCATATATAAAATATGTGTCAGTTTCTGGCATGTTAAGTATTCAATAGATATCAAAAATGTTAAGGCATTTTTTTTTTACTATCTTCATAGTACAAATCTCCCTGGAATAATGCTAAAGTAGAGACATCAAAACCATCTTACTTTTTAGGTTTTACCCAAACTGACTGCCCTTAAAATTAACCTTCTTTGGCAGTACACTCAAGCTTTTGCCAAATGGCGGGATTCTCCATTTCCAGGAGTCATCTAAACAATGCCTCAGCGCTCCCACTTGTACCAGTTAAAGAGAAGTAATACACTTTTAACAGGAAGTAAACAGGCAGCTTTCCACTTTTACATCTCAGACATCACAATCCATTTAAAGTAAGCTTCCATCTTTTCTACCAAATAATACAAATTTATATTTGAAGTAGTTTGATCAACAGAGATGGTCTGTCATCAGGACTGGATCTTTGGGATAATAGCAATGGCTAACATCTACTGAGCACTGTGTGCTTGGCACTGCTGTAAGCACTTTACATGTATTAACTCATTTAATGCAACTTACAGGAAAAAACTGAGCCACAGAGGGAGAAAGGAGCTTGCCCAAGCCATGAAGCAGGTTAAGTAGTAAAGCCAGGATTCAAATCCATGTGCTCCAGAGTCCACCTGCTCATCCTGGATTATGACTTACCACCTCTCTTATCATAGTTGTACCAGCAAAAAAAGCATCCAATTCCAAAAATGAAGAATACTGACTCTGCACATCCAAAGTTCTCTCTGCCCAAGTTACTCATCAACTAACACAGATGCATCAGAAACTTCAAAATGAGTAATGACATACAACAGGTCTATATTAAATTTAGTCATAAAATTCTATCACTAGTTGAAAAATTAATTTCCTACCGTACACCAAGGATTACAGAACATCAAAGGAAAGAGAAATTCCATTTTTGTTTAAATTGGGCAAGTTAAAAAAGGACATACATAAGAAAAACCAAAGTCGGGCGCCTGGGTGGCTCAGTTGGTTAAGCAACTGCCTTCGGCTCGGGTCATGATCCTGGAGTCCCGGGATCGAGTCCCACATCAGGCTCCCTGCTCGGCGGGGAGTCTGCTTCTCCCTCTGACCCTCTTCCCTCTCGTGCTATCTCTCATTCTCTCTCTCTCAAATAAATAAATAAAATCTTTAAAAAAAAGAAAAACCAAAGTCAAAAGTACTTTATAATGGGGAAAATATTTAGTATTTTAATATACACCAAAATGTTTTAATTATCCTAAGTAAATGTATTTAAAATTGTGTAGAATCTATTTACTTGAGACTACACAAGAGGCTAATCAAAAGTCAGGAAGTGCAGTTATCTTAATCACACCAATGAAGACAAGATATACCTGTATGCCAGTTAAACAAGCAAAAACACAGGAGCTATTTTCAAATAAGCTGTACCTCAGTTTCCAGTGTCGTTAACTCCACCTTCTGAGGTTCCTTGATTGTTACAATACCTAAAACAAGAAAATATTTTCCTTTCAACAGAAATCACATTTCATCTCAACCACATATATGAAAAGCTACAGATTCTAAAGCCATTCCATACCACACACTTTGATACTTAATGTTTAAAATCAGACAATGAAACAAACTTGAGTCTTCAAAACATCTTAAATACATTTTCTCCTTTATTCTAACACCCCACAGCCTTACCATGTAGTATCAGCAGGTATGTTATTAGTTAACTCAAGAGCAGTGGCTAATTTTATTTTTAAAGACTAATTTTAGAGAGCGAGCGAGCGAGCAGAGGGGAGAGGGTTAAGAGGGATAGACAAACTCCAAGCAGACTCTGTGATAAGCGCAAGCCCGATGTGGGACTCGATTTCACGACCGAGATCATGACCTGAATGTGGCCAATGTTTTAAAATGAACACCACTGGGGCACCTGGATGGCTGTCTGTTGAGTGTCTGCCTTTGGCTCCAGTCATGATCTTGGGGTCCCTAGGATCAAGCACGTCGGGCTCTCTGCTCAGCAGGCTCTCTGCTCAGTGCGGAGCCTACTTTTCCTTCTCCCTTTGCCTGATGCTCCCCCTGCTTGTGCTCTGTCAAAATCTTAAAAAAAAAAATAAAAATCATTGACTATACAAATACCTGAATCATTTCACAAAAACAAACTCTAATTTCCAACTAAAAACTAATATGTAACTATTTTCTTCTAATACTTTTCTTTATACTTAAAATATTTGAATATTTTATAATTATTTTTACAAGTCACAAAAAACATTTATAGTCCTAAATTCCATGTTCATTTTGCAAAACAAAGCATGTATTTTTTTTAATTTTTTTTTTAAGGATTTTATTTATTCATTTGAGACACAGAGATAGAGAGAGAAGAGAAAGCATGAGCAGGAAGAGAGGCAGAGGGAGAGGGAGAAGCAGGCTCCTTGCTGAGCCAGGAGCCCGATGTGGGGCTCGATCCCAGGACCCTGGGATCATGACCTGAGCCAAAGGCAGACACTTAACCATCTGAGCCACCCAGGTGCACCAAAGCATACTTGTTTTTAAAGATTTTATTTTTTTAAGTAATTTCTATACCCAATGTGGGGCTGTAACACACAACCTATGATCAAGAGTTCCATGCTCCACCAACTGAGCCAGCCAGCCAGCTAAATGCCCTAAAGCATACCTTTTTTATTTTTTTTAAATTTTTTTTTTCAATTTTATTTATTTGAGAGAGAGAATGAGAGACAGAGAACACGAGAGGGAAGAGGGTCAGAGGGAGAAGCAGACTCCCCGCCGAGCAGGAAGCCCGATGTGGGACTCGATCCTGGGACTCCAGGATCATGACCTGAGCCGAAGGCAGTCGCTTAACCAACTGAGCCACCCAGGCGCCCAAGCATACCTTTTTTAAAAATTAAGTGCACAGTCAAAATTGATGCATAAACATAAGCTTCACCATTGTGGTATGTTGAAGGATGATGAGTAGAAATTCAGCAATTCAATGAAAATAAATGACAACAGTTAAACACACACATACAAACAAATAAAAAAACGAATGCAAGCGGTTACAATAAAAATCTTTATTTAGGTTTGGTCAGTACAGGTAAGATCTACTGGAGTCACAGCAATATGCATTAACAGGATACAACAGTTCATAAAAACTGAGTAACTATGCACACAAATTTCTTAAACATTCAGTCACCTAAAAGAGAAAATGCACAGATGTATGGTGGAAAAAACTGTATCTAACACTGAAACTACTATAGGACTCCATCAGCAAGTCCAACTTTTAGTGATAAAACTACTGTACTGGGCAAACTTGGCAGTCAGAAACCCACATCTACTCTAACAAGTCTGAATGGTGCGTTAAGTATAGTAACAGCATGAGTAAGAATGCCCTTCCACAGCACAGGTTCTAGGAGACACAGATTTATACAGACAGCATTGTGTTATACTTTAAGGAAAGATTTCCATTTACAACTTCACATTAACTCATATAAAAATAACTTGACCCTACACAAAATGTCCTTTTAGCAACATTCAAGGTAATTAACTGTTACAATTTCCAAAGTGGCATAGGTATTGAAGCAAAGAAGGGGAGGGAAAAAAAAGGGGGGGGGAGGAGGAGAAAAAAAAAAAACCACACCCACAAAAAAAGGCAAATTGTGACAAAAGTATGCGTTAATTTTCTGGACAGTATCCTCTCCCAAATTAAATGACACTGTATAAAAATTTGCTGGAAAAAATATTACAAAACTGAACCCTGTACATTTACACTTGAGTCCAAGCCATTCTGAACGTGGCGGGAACCCGCAGTTCGGTTACCTTTCCCACTCACTGTTTTCTCCTCTTGAGGGTCATGATTGGAGTCTGTGTCATTTGAGTGGTGTGTGAGTGAGTTTTCACTGCCCGTGGGAGAGTCTACACTTTCATACCCCGCACTGAGTTGATTTACGTAACTACTACCTCCTCTGCCAGTTCTCTCCTCTGAGCTGTTGGAGGCCTTATTACCATTCCCAGGAGAAGAAGGAAAGTCATCTTCGGCTGTGTCCCCCTCCCTGTGAAATCCAGACCCAGACGTCCTCGGCCGGGAGGAACTGCCATTACTTGGTCCGTTGGCCAGCCGACTGCAGTCTTTACCTGTGGCCTCTGCCTGTGCTACAGGCTCAGAAGATGTAGTCCTGCTGGTACTTGGGGCTGGAGCTTGAGACTGCTGCTGTTGGTACTGAGCCAACTGTTGGCGAGTCTCTTTCAGTTGTTGCTGAAGAACTAGAATGGTGCTCTGCATACCCTCTACTTCTTCATCAAGTTGAATGATGAAGTCATTCAGTTCTGTGCAAAGGAGAGTCAAACCTACTTTAATATCTCTTAAACATATTTTATTTTTTTAAAGATTTAGAACATATTTTAAAATATTGGTGTCTGTCACAAAGTCAGACAGTCAATACATGTTTAAGTGAACGAATACAATTCTAAAAATCACGAAATATTTTAATTAAATTTTTTTTGCTTGCAATTTAAAAATAGCCATTTAAGAATGAGTTTGGGTTTTTCGGGGGTGGGGAGTGGGGGAGACAAGCTTAAAATACCTTAAAGCAACCAAGTTAAAACTGATTCAAACCATCTAGCCATATACAACTGATTATAGTCCCCCAAATCCACTCCACATGTTTACCTGGGGCCCACATGGCTGGTTCCCTTTCTCCTTACCCCCCCAGCCAGTGTTTGTCTCAGCTCCACAGCAGGTTTAGCCCTAGGGAGCAGTGGGTCCTCTACTCTAACACTCCAAAGAGGCCTATGCTATAACGAAAACAAAAATCAGAGAAAATAACTCCTGAAAACTGATAAAATACACATGTCCATTAAGTCCTAAAAAAGCTTGGGAGAGGGGAAAGTCCTTGACTACTATACAAAATCTCCTAGTCACTATGTTTACAAATATTAAGAGCTAATAACTATCACTTTGAAAAGGTACCTTAAAAGGTATCATATTGACTACTGATCTTTGCAATTATCAAATATATTGACTTTCAATTTATTTATTTTTAGAATTGTATTAATTTGATAGAGAGCAAGCAGAGGGCACAAGAGAGAAGCAGGCTCCCCGCTGAGCAGGGAGCCCGATATAGGGCTTGATCCCAGGACCCTGGGATCATGACCTGAGCCAAAGGCAGGCACCCCTTAACTTTCAATTTTATTTCCAGAGTTCAGATATTTTAGTTACTATTCATCTTCCTCAAAAAGAGAAAAAACAGAAGGGATACAGCTACACTTGCCCCCCCAAAAAAAGGCAGGGGGAAAAAGGGGGGGCGGCAGTGGCTGACAATTAAGTCCAGTTTATCTTTAGCAAATTTAAATATTACATCTTATTCACTAAACAGGACCTTAACAGGTACAATTAATTCTGTATTTTTAGACCACTGGAAATAGCCAAATACTTCCAAGATTTACACTTAGAATGTTGGTTAGGTGAAGATAACCCCCTTTTAAATATTGAATATGAATTTGTGTATGTAATGCCTTAGTGATAAACAGCCTTTCACCAAATTCCACCCCCCCAAAAACCAAAAACTTACGAAATTTGCACAATAAACAAGAGTGTGTGTGGGGGGGGAACCACTAAAATTAAATGGCTTTGCTGACTCAACTAGAAATGTTTCATTTGTAATTTTTCAGGACCACTGGCACAGATTAGTACATACAGAATCTAATCTATAATATTCATGCCTGGCAAATTTTTTAAAGCCAGTGCAAAGTTAACCAAACTTTTCAAAAAAACCCTTACCATCCTGACTGCTTTTAAGCTCCTCACTATATTTCTTCTGTAAAGCCAACTCTGCTTCAAGTTGTGCAATACGTCCCTGGGACAGCTGCCTTCCAAGCTCTTGATTCTCCTGGATAAGCATTCGACACTTCGCCATTAACTTTTTGCCTGTTTGGCTGCAAAGGAAAGAGCCATCCATCATAAAATGAAGACAAGTGTCTACAACCTTGTTTGCTTGCAATTATTACAGCCATAGATGTTAACACGTACAGAATGTAACTGTCACGGCAGCTGCCTCCCTATAATTACCATCTTCTTTTCTGGAACACGTCCATCTTCTGCATTTCAGTATTTTGCCAATACAGCAGCAAAAATAAACCCTAAACAAAAAGTACCCAAATGGCCACATTTTCTATTACACTAGTAATGGATTCTGATATCTATTTTCATCCCAAACTATCATTTGAAATGGAAACAAGCCAGTTAACTAATGCAAACCTCAGATACACCAATATTAATAAAACACTAAGGTACTTAGTTTCATGGAACAGAAATGTTCTTGAAAAGGTAAATGCATAACATAGAGTATATTTATTGTTGCTAAAGTAGCATTTGATGAGGGTGCCTCTTCATAAGCAGCTGTCATAAGAATGTTTATTGCAGTAAATGAGGCATATTCAATAATTGTTTTTAGAGACTTTTAATATTTTTAAAGTATCTCTACACCCAACGTGGGGCTTGAACTCATGACCCTGAGATCAAGAGTCACATGCTCTACTGACTGAGGCGCCCCTAAAAAGCCTTTTTAAGAAGAGCCTTAAGAATATTTCCATCCACTAATCCCTCATTTAACTTTTTTAATATACTTTTGAGCCGTCTTAAACTGTAATACAAGTTTTTAAAAATTTAATATTGATATGTGGTTAAGATTTTATCCATGTTATAAAAGATTACCTTTAGAACAGGAAAATAAGATTGGGATTGTTTATCACAAATAATGTAAATATGTTAAAGTATCTGCCAAATTAGGAGCACCAAACTTTCCACAAATTAGTTACCAAGTATTAGTGCAACCTTCTATAGAACCTACACACACATACACAGCAACTGCAAAAATGCAATCAAAAGCCTTGATAACAGTCCTCAATGAAACTTTGCCTTTTCTTTAGACTCAACAATAACAAGAGAAATGATTTTTAAAGGGATCTAAGTACATAATTGTGATGTTACCTGATACTTCACTAGGACAGCCTGATATTTAAAAAAAAAACTAAGTGGGCTCTACACCCAATGTGGTGCTTGAACTCACAACCCCGAAATTAAGAGTCACATGCTCCACCAGGGACAGTCTGATACTCTTCTGATGGTGTTAAGTTCAGAAAGACCTAACCTAACTGGTTAGAAAATTTTTTTTGCTGACACTTTCTTTCCTTCACCTACCGGGGCTTTCACCTGCCTGATATATCACTTCAGAATGCATCTGAACCTGATTACCAAAGGCCTTCAGACTTAAAATGAGAGCATTTTGTAAATGATTCTTTCTTTTGACTCCATGTTGCAAGGTGTTTTTTTTTTACCCATAGTACATATCCTACCCTAATGTAACTCAAGCAAAAGTTGGTAATTTAAATTTATCTGTGGTACAGTAAAACCTGGCTTACTGCTGCTCAAAGCAGCCTCAGGTGAAAGCACTTGCTAAGGGTTTTATTCTCTATATGGCAACTTTAGCTGGTGTTCTTGTTCATTGCAACTGTAGCTCCAGACAACTCCCCTCCCCGCCATTTCCCATTAGCACCCTCAGACTTTGGCCTCCAATGAACAGTTTAGAAATCTCATGAGGGAGTTCAGAGATAGGTACCACTGTCAGGTAGTGGCACTCCTCCCACCTTACTGTCCATGCTCCCATAATTTTGTTTTCTTACACAAAGTCTATATAGCATCAATGTTCTCCAACTAACCTGAAAATCCTTCTATGTGAATTTGAGAGTAGAAAAAAATACTGTACAACCAATACATTAATTTGTGACCTAACTTAATCTCATATAAAGTGTATCATAAAGTGAATGCAAAAAATGTTTCATTCATAGTCATAGTACCTTTTTATAAAGGCCTGCTCTAAGATAATCCTATCACTTCTACAAGTCTAAACAAAACTGTTCTTTACACATTTTGTCATTTTACCATGTCATATAAGATTTATGTTGTGTTCATCACATCCCCCAAAATGAGAAGAGTTCAATTACAAGTAACTGTCTTTGGAATAATTTTCTTTAATTACAACCCCCCCAACCCATTCCTAAAATCAAATAATTCCAAAGAAAATATGAAAGGAAACAGTTTGAGAGAAAGATTTATAAAAAAGAACAGACGCTATACATTGCTTTATAATCACAAGGAAGGGGGCCAAGATATCTGAGAGGTGTACACAAAATTACCTAAATGATTAAATGCAAAACAGAACTGTCGAAACAACTGAAATAGATCGCTCTTAAATACTGTTAAAATATATGCACTGTTACATGTATGGAATATTTTAACTAAAGCAGAGAAGATAACTCAATCTTTCTCTTTCAAAATTAAAACAGAGTAAGAAAGTGTGTGTATGTGGGGGGGACCCACAACCCATTCTATTTTAATTATTCCAAACACAGTACTGACTGAGCACTGTTTCAGGTTAATGATGTATTTATAGTACCGTTTATAGCCTATTCTTTACAGAAAATCCATTTACAGGTGATTAAAATAAATTATGATTTATTAATACAAAGAAAATATTATGTAACCATTAAAAATTAAGTAATCTAAATGTACTTAAAAAATAAAAAACTGTGAAAGGGATAAAATGTGTGTTGGGAGGGGGGACGCCAAGCTTCAATCATCTATGTTATGTACGTTCACATTTGTTTAAAATCGGTATCTATAAAATGACTGTATATGCATAATCTTGATGATACCCAAGAAACTTAGCAGTGGTTACTGCTCTTGGAGAACAGATTGGGGAAGGAAAGGTCACATCCAGGAGTGACTCTCACTTTTTGTCTCCATCTTTCTTCATGCTGTTCCAATTTTACACATGAGCCTGTATTAACTTATCAAAAAACGTTTTTAACAGTAAGAAGAAAAAAATCCACAGACCTCACAGTGACTCTTACCTAAGCGGCAAAGAAAGACGCTAGCTAATAAATCTGAGTACATGTTAAGAATACATTTTATGAATTATTTCTTGACTTACTAAAAATACGTATAGGCCATTTCTACTGTGATCTTAAATGGCATAAAATATATGCAAATGCCTTAATGTGGCACAATAAGCTAATTTCAAACAGATTTGGTTACTTACCCTCCAACCCCACAAATAGTGAGAATTTTAGAAGCGGATTTCTTGCTGTAAAGTCACACAAACCACTTCTTCAACCCACCCTCTGCCCCACAATCAGTTCCCTAAAGCACAAACATACAAGATACTTACAATTGATTTGAATGGTTAAGAGAGAACTTAAGTCACCCTTGTTAAAACTGCACTTAAACGTTGGGACAATCTGGAACATATATCTTCCACTCATCTTAGACTCCATTATCACCAAGTGAAAATTCGCACTGGTGACTTATAGAATGATCTGACGAAAAAAATTCACCTCCAGGATTGGATGGAAGCATGAAGAAAATAATGCCTCATTTATCTAAATGATCAAATGAATTTGCTAGAAATGATCACTATACCTTTTTTTCAATTCACAAAATGTCTCACTTAGGCCAGCCCACAGTTCCAATACATTATTTCCCCAATCTTCTGGCAGGTACCCTGTGAAGCTGTCCCACATTAATTTCTACTGCAATATCCTGGGACAAGGTGTCAAAAAGTAACAAGTGTCAAGTCTCCTTGTCTTTTATGATACCAGCTGGAAAAACGTAGGTCTTTAAAAATGAGACACAGCCTTTTCCTTCACTTTGAAGAGCACAGCAACAATTTTTCCAAAATCAATCTGCTCTCCACAGCCCCCCAAATCAAAATGTTAAAAGTACAACAAAATCATCATAGTATTCCCTTGAACTTAAAAAAAAAAAAAAAAACAACTATTTCAAGGCACATTTAATTTAATATCAAGAGTGCAATACAAAAGGCCCAAATACAATGAAGGAAACACATTCCCCCATTAACACCAACGACAATGCTCTTTCAACATGTGCCTGTTGAATGGAATGGGGATTTAATTTCACTACTAAAAAAAATAATGCAGTGAGTCTCATCACAGCCAATATCCTTATACAATCTAGTAGTGAAATGAATGTTTATAATGCTTCAAACAGTTTCAACCTGAAGTTTGATACCACACCTTTTTGTTTGTACAGTCCTCAATAAGATTATCTACAGCATTAGCAACCATTCAAAGAACAAACCATTGATTAAAACCACAATGATTTAAGGCTCAATCAAGTAATATAGAGCCCCAAACTAAATGGTTAAATATATGAACTACTTGTACTGACATCTATTATTTGATTCTCTCGTGACTATTATTAAATTGGTTCTTAGCAAATAAACTCTTTAAAAGGCAAAATTCACCTCATTTGAGTTTTGACCCAGAAGTTCAACAACAATCACGAAGTCCACAGTCTTATTGGCAAAACTGATATACAGTGTCTCTAAGTCACTATGCTCAAGGTTAAGAGCGATGCATAATCCATTTTTACATTTTACTGGAATTTTACATGTTCAATTCATGATATTAAATCTCTAGGTTTTCATTCCTCCAAACTGTCTGAAGACACAGTGTGCCACAGACTTAAAACTTCTGTTTCTCCCTCTATTTTCTTCAAACAGAAACATTTCTCAAGTGTCTACATGTTCTAGAAGGGGAATTTTTCGGAGGTGGCCACTTCTTCGGAATAGTCCGACGCCATCAGGCCTCTGAAGCAAGGGGAGGGGGAAGAGAAAAAAGCTGAAACACAAGGTTCATCTGGTAAGTTTTACATTAACCATTACAAGCTGGATAGTATAAGAATGTGGCTTTTTTTGGCTCAAAAAGTCTGAGTCTTGGTGTGGAAACGAGTACTTGGCTGTCCCACCACAGCTTTCTCGTAGTGGGACTGTCAGGGAAGTCTTGACTGGGGAGTATGATTTGTTTACCTATCAGGCGTAAACTTCCAGGCACTCAGTTCATTTTGGGCTTGTTCCAGTTTGTCTTTAGTCTGTTCCAGTTCACCTTTCATTTTTAGGAAAAACAAGTTGATCGCTGGGTCTACCATTGTTGATCTCAGTTGGGCAACGCTAGGCTGCTGGACTTGCTTGAGGTACTGGATTTGAGTCTGTACAAAGCAAAAAAAACAATTACTACCAAATCAAAGAAAAATATATACATAGGAAGATGGGACAAAATCCCTTTCGTTCACAGAATTTACCAACTTAAGTCCTTCCCCCTTTGATCTTAATATCCTCTAAGAAAAGTACAAATTATAAACAACTATTTAAGTTATCCATGTAGGAATTAAGGCTATGATTGCACTTCCATATCTGGAAAGGCTACATCTTACTTTGAAACTAAAACGATACCCAAAAAAAATTCACTGTTGTATTTCCTAAAAATGTTGACACCCACTAGAAAAAACCATGTGTAAAATATTATATAAGAGTACAGTGAGGGGTGCCTGGGTGGCGCAGTCAGTTAAGCATCTGACTCTCTTAGTTTCGGCTCAGGGTCATGATCTCAGGGTGATGAGATCAAGCCCCACTGAAGTTTCTCTCTCCCTCTCCCTCTGCCCTGCCCCACTGTGCACTTGTGCTCTATCAAATAAATATTAAAAGAAAAAAAAGTATAGCAGTTTACTCTTTCCAATTTGTACCTACGGAAATTATTCTATGTATATCTCCTAAAAAATACACCTACTAAAAAATAACTTATAATACATATTTGTATTTCCATATTTAAAAATATATAATGTTTATATTTACATGAGTTGACATCACGGCATTATAAATAGCAGCTTAATCAATATATTCAATTTTTCCTTCTGAGTGGATTTGAATCACAGAATTGTATAGGTGGAATGTGCCTAACCAAATCCAAACTGCTTATTTTTGAAATTAAATAAGCTAATTGTCCAAGGATACAGTTAGTTCAGTGCCAGAATTGAGACTTGAGACTAGAAAACAGTTCTCAAGCCTCCTCATTCCCAACCTAGGGCTTTTTCCACCACACCAGAACCCCTCTACTTACATATGAAACCTTCAATTTCGACTTCAGTTGTACTACTTACTAGAGCACACTAAAAATACATTTCTAAAATATGAAATACAGTTTATTAGCATTAAATGCATCACTTTCTTCACACCCAAAGTAGATTTGGTTCAAGATCCTGCTGCACACTAAGGCTTAAATAGGATTAAAGTTAACAATTTATAAACTGCTAATTTCTATGATAAATTCAGTAAAAAATACAAATATCTGGATTGGGAATATATTTACTATTTCACTGAGCAAACAGAAGTAATTTTTATTTAGCTTAATGAGATTTTTTTTAAAGTAACTCATTTTAAACAAAAAAGTACAACTGTTTATTCAATATAAGACCAGTTGCTAAAATAATTGAACAGGAATAAAGCATATCATGTAGCATATACACCACAGCCTGGGATCCCTAAAGAAAACATGCCTCTCCAACACTGACATAGTTACTTTTCAGGTTTGCAAAGTGACCTGCCCTCACCTGCACATATAATCTTGCCCTTTCCTTGTGTTTTTGCTCCTGCGGCCCTTTCTGCAAAACCTTACTCTGTATCTAACTGAAAACAGTTGTTCAGCTGACCTGTGCAGGGGAGAGCTGTAAAAAATATGACTGGAAATGGGTAGGTTCTAGTTCAAACAGCCTTAAAAACCTGGGATGAGAAGACAAAAGGGTGATGGAGCATCACCAAAGGCTTTTATCAGGCATCATATGATCAAAACTGCCCGACTATATATTAAATAGCTGGAGAATCACAGAAGTGAGTCAAGAGCATATACTGTCTAGGTAAGTGTTAAGCAGTATAAGAACTATGTGTTGTATAAAAGGAAAACTCCCCTTGACAAGGATGGAACAGGCCCTCAGTCCTCACAACACACATATAGTTAAGGCATCGCCATCCACTGCGTGGCATCTAAACATTGTTTAAAAAAAAAAAGTACATAAACTAGGATCGCAACAGTAGGACCCAAGAAGAAAGAATTCAGGACACACTGGTGCTATGAGATAATACTACTGACATGATCCATTCACACTCTACCAGCGGGTAGCACTTTGAAGGTAAGATTCATCCTTTGCATTTGATAAGCATGTAGCAGAGTGCCATGTAAACAGAGACCTAAAACTAGGTAGAATCTAGAATCCTTAATACCAGAAAAAGTAGAAAAGAATTAAAAAGTTTTGAAACTCGGTACTCTAGAGACATAGTACCCACTCCATTAGATATGAAAATCTAAGAGGGAAAAAAAATTTTTTTTTGAAGGGATGGAGTGGGTGTTACAAATAAAGAAAAGAAAATTATATTCTAACTATTGGGCAAGACTTCCTGGAACTATGTGTCCAGATAAAAAAAATAACCAACGGTTGAGATGGTCAAGAGTTTAAATTACAGAAACTGAAGGTGTGTGATTATTGAGAAAAGAAATTTTAAGAAAAAAAGGACTCTGACTGAGCCCTAAAGAACACTATCCTGGTAAGAAAAGAATTAGGAATAGGACTGTGCCCCATGTATTATCAGAGTCTCCAATGATCAGAATATTGCCTTCTGCATTAGATCTAACAAACAGTATTATCAGATCAATGGAGGTTACACAAAGAATTCAAGCAAATTTCAGATTTTTGGGGCGCCTGGCTGGCTCAGTCAGAAGAGCATCCAATTCGGCTGCCTATGTGGCCCAGTCAGTTAAGTATCTGCCTTCGGCTCAGGCCATGATCCCAGGCTACTGGGATCGAGTCCCACATCAGGCTCCCTGCTCCGCAAAGTCAGTTCTCCCTCTGCCTCTCCCCCCTGCTTATGATCTCTCTCTCAAATGAATAAAATCTTAAAAAAAAAAAAAAAAAAGCATGCAATTCAATTTTGGGGATGTGAGTTTGAGCCCTACATTGAGTGTAGAGATTACTTTAAATAATTTTTTTAAAAATTTCAGATTTTCAAATTTAGAACAACAAGGATAAAACTACCTCTACTTTACCTAACATATATACAAACACTAATAAAAAGGAATAGGTAAGACTACTGAAGACAGCATATAACTTAACCTAAATTCACCCAGAGCTAAATGATCAAGTATGTCACTGGATTTCAGATCTATGTAGAAATGGCAAATATTACAAATGAAAGCTGTAACATTAAAAGCAGATATAGAAGAGATTACTGATACTAACAAAAAGTTTTATACACAGAGAGGTAAAGAGAGCAGAGGAGAAAGAGTTTGCTTAGCAAGGAGCAAATGCTTCTTATGCCCTCAGGTATCAAGAAAAATATCTGAATCAATATACTGATTCTTGTATCATGGAAATTTCAGAGAATAACTTAAAACTTTTAACTTCTTGGCCAAAAAAAATTTTATAATCCAACAATGGGGTGATCTACCAAAATTTTAGCATTTTATAGCTCAAAGCCTATCTACCTTAACAAAATGTTCGTTTGTAATTACTATTAAGTTTGTAAAATTAGCTAACTACCAATATATGTAATAATGCAGACTAAAAACCAATTCCTCAAAAAGACCTAAAACATTTGAAATACTTACAGTACACTCTTGCATCTCTTGCTCCTTGGTTGCTAGTCGCATTACAAGGATGTTTTCCCTGCGAGCAGACTCTTGCTGTTGTTGCTTTAGTTTTTCTTCAGACTCCCTTAACCCAGTTACATCATTAGCTGATGAATAAAAGAAAAAAATTCCAGAACATTATGAAATATAATTTCAAGATCAAAATGACCTACCCAAAATAAAGTTCTGATTGCCTTTGTCAAGAATAAAAGCAGGGGAAAAAATTTCATCAAGTCTTTAGTTTCTATCCTACTTTTATAACAATTTGTTATAAAATTTGTTTTGATGAGTGCTCTTTTAGGAGATAGTGGTGTTAGAGTGGCCTACAGCCACCTACTACTACGTAGAATTATGTTGTTACTGTACAATCTACCTCCAACAGAACATGGGGAATGTCATTATCTTCATCTATAGCATGTCCACAATGTCCTGACTATGTCGTTTTCAACCTATCCAATGAAAACATGCCAGTAACTGCATAAACAATTATCACTTAAAGCTCTCACAATATTGAGGCACCTACGTGGCTCAGTCAGTTGAGCATGTGACTCTTGGTTTCGGCTCAGGTCATGATCTCAGGGTCATGAGACTGAGCCCCACATGGGCCTCAGGGCTCTGGGCGGAGTCTGCTTGAGACTGTCTCCTTCTCCCTCTGTTCCCCACCCCCAACCGCGCATATGCACGCGCAAACTCTCTAAAATAAATAAAATCTTTAAAAAAAAAAAAAAGCTTTTAGGGCACCTGGGTGATCAGTTGGTTAACTGTCTACCATCAGCTCAGGTCACGATCCCAGGGTCCTGGGATCAGGCCCTATTTCGGGCTCCCTGCTCAGTGGGGAAGTCTGCTTCTCCCTCTCCCTCTGCTTGTGCTTGCTCTCTCCCTCCCTGTCTCTGTCAAATAAAGGAAATTGTAAAAAAAAAAAAAAAAGCTTTCACAATACTAATGTCTATGGATTATAATACAGTCATATAGTAATTGAAATTTCAGGGTATTAAGCTTTCTGAACTTGGAAAACAATACTGCTTTGTACACTCACAAATACTCCTCAGTGAAAAGTGACAAAAACTAAAATGGTTTGAAATTAATAAACTTTGTTGGTATTATTTTTCAGGTTTTGAAAAACCTGTAAATATGTACCTATACCCTATTATTACACATTAAGCTCTCAGAATTTATGTGTTGCTTCTATGTACCTCCTTTCTAAAACCAGTAACTCATGCTTCACTTCCAGTTCTTCTGTGGAAGGAATTATGGACACATCAAGGAAAGTTTCAAGTGGTTGTGTATTTCCCCATCTCTACTCAGACACCTGTATGTAATTCTACTAAAACAATCATGCTATTATACGACTATTACATATCGGGTTTTCCCCCAAATGACTGGGTAGGAATTCCTCAAGAAGAAGGATCATGGCTCATTCATCTATTTTGTAGCAGCAATATAGTGAGTGCTTGGGAGAGTTCTTTAACAAAATGCTTGAATGAAAATTACAATTGCTTAGGGGCACCTGGCTGGCTTAGTTGGAAGAGCGTGCGACTCTTGATCTCGGGATCATGAGTTTGAGCCCCACACTGGTGTAGATTACTTAAATAAAAACTTAAAAAAAAAAATTACAATTGCTTAGTAAAACCAATTATCCTGTGTCTGTAACAAAAATCTAAAAGGAGAGAGTCGCATAACTTTTAGGAAGCTAAAACTCAAACTTACAATTAAGATCTGTGTACTTGCCCTCCAAAGCTTGGACATATGCTTCATATTGTTTCCATCTAGTACAAAAATAAATTCATATATTAGTTGTCACACTGATACTCCTTTTATTAAAAATGCTAGAAAATTACACACATAAACTTATAAATTTAAGTAATACCAGGAATTTCACTACATGATTTTTAACCAGTAATAAAATTAGCCACTTCATTATTCCTTCTCAACTTACGGAAACTAGGTAAAAGAAAATACAGAAAAAAAGAGTTTTCTGCTAAGAATATACCAAGTATGCTCCTTTGGGTCAGCAGTTCATATGTCTTACAGGACTTTATATCACTGAGGCTCAGCACAATGCCTGGATTACAAAAGCTAAGTACAAAACTTATTACTACTTTCAGATATGCTGTCTGCCTCAAACAAATGGAACCTAAGAAACGTGCCTAATTATAAAGAACTAAAGGTTCTTTATCTTGGCTCTTTTGTGAAAATACCATAAAGCCAAAGCAGTGGTTCAAAGTAGTATTTATTTTTGTCTGTAAAAAAGGGAGAATATACTATTTTCCAGGACTATTCTTTAAACCACACCTACTTGGCAGAAACAATCTGCATAAATGACATATACTATCAGAGTATGAAGGAACCTTTCTTCCTTGTTATATTCCTCTACCCTCAAAACACAAGCTATGCGAGCTTGGTAATTACTGTTGAAAACAAGGTCCCTAGTCTTATGTTTAAGCAACTAACAAAAAGTAACATGCCCTGAAAGTCTGCTATCCTGCTTACTGAAGAGCTATGCTTTTAAGCTGCTCTTCAGTTACAGCTAATCAAAATTTACAGTTGATCCTTGACCAATGTAGGGTGGGGGTTTAGATGTGACAAGCCCTGCATAGTCAAAAATCCATGTATAACTTTTGACTCCCCAAAAAGCTTAACTAATAGCCTACTGTTGACCAGAAGGAAACCTTACTGACAAATATAAACACTTAAATTACACACATTTTGTATATGTATTATACACTACATTCTTACAATAAAGCTAGAAAAAGGAACCATTAAAAAAAAAAAAAGAAAATACACTTGAAAGTACTATACTGTACAAGATCTGAATGTAAGTGGACCCCCACAGTTCAAACCTGTTTGAAGGGTCAATGTACCTTTGATTTTAGAAAATCTTTCTATAAAACCTCAGTAACCTTGACAGGTTTGCTATGAGATATATTAATATTACAACATAATGAGAAAAATTTCCATAATACCAAGCTTTACATAAAGACTACTGTTCAAAGGCATGCTTATTTTTCTTTTAAGATTTTTATTTATTTATCTGAGAGACCATGAGCAGGGGGGGAGGGTAGAGAGAGAAGCAGTCTCCCCGCTGAGTAGAGAGCCCTAGGTGGGACTTGATCCCAATGACGTGAGCTGAAGGCAGATGCTTAACCCACTGAGCCACCCAGCCATCCCTCAACCAAAGGCATCCTTTCAAAATGACAGATAACACAGAATAGTTAGATAAATAGCACTTGATTTAAAAATCACCGAGAATTAACGAGGGGGAAAAACTTACTTAAAAGTCATACATGAGGGCGCCTGGGTGGCTCAGTTGGTTAAGCAACTGCCTTCGGCTCAGGTCATGATCCTGGAATCCCAGGATCGAGTCCCGCATCAGGATCCCTGCTCGGCAGGGTGTCCTGCTTCTCCCTCTGACCCTCCCCCTTCTTGTGCTCGCTCTCTCTCAAATGAAAAAATCTTAAAAAAAAAAAAGTCACACATGAGAATTCCCTAAAAGAAGTTAAAGAATATAAACTGCAGGACTTAAAAACCTTAAAGGTAACTTAATATAAAAAACTGCTACTATGAAATTTTATTAAGATTACTGATTTCTCTCCCTACAAATAAATGAAAAAGACTACACATACTAACCAGAGATACAAAGAGAGTATCAACACGTGAGCGGCAGTATATCACAAGCAAGGGTCTACACCTCAGCAGGAGAGGACAAGAGTGTTTTAGAATACTAAGAATTTAAATTTCATGTATGGGAAAATAGTATGCAATGAAAAAACAGTCCTTTGCATGAAGACGATAAAGAGCTTGTCCACAATATGAGTAGCTAAGGAAGGTGGGAAATTATCAGACTCTATTTAACAATGGAACATGTCATCTGCACCTGCCTATTTTATAAAACACCTTTTCTGGGGCACCTGGGTGGCTCAGTCGGTTACACATCTGCCTTTGGCTCAGGTCATGATCCCAGGGTGCTGGGATTGAGCCTGGAGTCTGGCTCCCTGCTCAGCAGGGAGCCTGCTTCTCCTTCTGCCCGTCCCCCAGCTCGTGCTTTCTCTCTCTCTCAAATAAAATCTTAAAAAAAAAAAAAAAGAAAAAAATACTTTCTTTGTATCTAAAAATTATCATCTAAAAAACTTATCACCCAAAGTAATAAAATGTAAAAAGAACAAATTTAAGTTACACAACACAAAAGATGTGTTGATCCCATTTTATATTAAAAAAAGAAAAACCCTTAATGCTGTTCTTGACCACCAGCTTTTAAGACATTTATAAGATAACCACAGAAATTCAGAGCTTGGAGTAACCTTTTAAAGTAATTTAATTCAACTCCTTAACTTGCAGAGGAGAAAATGGATATAAAGTTATACGAACTGACCAATGTCACAGTTATGAGAAAGAGTAACTTTGCTCTAAGTAAATAATGTATTTCTTCCATAACTAAACATGTCATCCTTTAGGACTACAACTTTTTCACACATTAATCAGAAAAGGAAAAAATAATGACATCAAAACAAGTCTACGTATTTGTTAAATTGAAAGCTTTCTGAGAGCAGGGTCTTTCAAATGCTTTAAGTTAAAATTCTGAATATCTTCCCTCTGCAAGAAAAACTCAGGTTATCTAGCAATCTAGAAGTTACCCAAGCTAGTACTTTAGTTCTTTCAAGTGTTATGCTTTCCTCAGTGTTTACCTATTGAAGAAACAGACCATAGAAAGTACGTTCAAAAAGTACATTAAATGATTTAAGGATGTATTAATGTTAAAAACCAAACAATCAAACTTGAAAATAATTACAGGATAGAATCACAATATATTCTATAGAAAGCATTTTATATTTTTGATAAAAGAACATTTTACCTTAGAATTAACTCATCTCGTGCCATAACTTTGAAGTCTGTTTCACTCAGCCGAACCTATATATAAAGAAAATTAAAATATGAACTGACTGCTCTTCCTAAAACTTTTAAAATATTAAATACCACTGGCTCTTATATTCTTCATATTTTTTATAAAGACAGGATCTTATTTTAGTCCCCCAATTGCTCATTTCTGTTATTAGAAATACCCTTATTACTGAAGATACACAAAGTCCCTCCCAAAGGACCTCTGTGCTGAAAATACGAAACCTCTCCAGAGCCCCAGGTTAAATGGTCCAGTACATATTATTGTTTTTTAAAAAATCTTATTGTTTATAAAAGGTACACTGTCTTTAATATAGGCATCATTCTTAGGTAAATGCAAATTAAAACTCCAATGAGCTATCACTACACACTTTTTAGAATGGCTTTTAAAAATATAGTGGTAACACCAAATGCTGGGGGAAGATGTAGAGAAACCAAACTTTCACACATTGCCGGTGAGAATGTAAAATGGTACAGCTGCTCTGGAGAATATTTTGGCAATTCCTTTTTAACTAAAAATGGATGTGACATACAACCAACCCAGCAGTTGCATTCATAAGCATACATCTCAAAAAAATAAATTTATTTTCACACAGAAATTTGTACATGAATGTTTACAGCTTTATTTGTAGTAGCCCCCAAACTGGAAACTACCCAAATGTCTTTCAACAGGTGAATGGTTAAACTATGATACATCCATACCCTTGGAATACTAGATTCACCATTAAAAAGAAAGCCTATCGATCAACTCAGATAAACCTCCAGGAAATTATACTGGGTGGAAAAAAATAACTCAAAAAGTTACATATACTGCCTGATTTCATTTGTACATTTGTGAAATAGCATAATTACTGAAATGGAGAACTGATTAGTGGTTGCCAAGGGTTTGGGATGGATGGGGCTACAGAGGATTGGCAAAATGGAAGCTTGTGGTAATGTTTCAGTTAACTATTTTGGTTGTGATGGTGGTTACACTAAGTTACCCGTGATGAAGCTACACTGAGCTATCAAAACACACACAATATGCCCGTGTTAAACTGGATTGTATCAATGTCAAGTTCCTGGTTTTGGTATTGTTATGTAAGAAGTCTGACAGTTATGCAAGATTAACACTGAAGGAGGCTGGATGAGGAGTGCCACAAAACCCCCTGTACATTTTTTTGCAACTTTTGGTGTATCAATAATTATTTCAAAATAAAAAGTTTTTAAAAATGGGCACAATATTCTAGCTGAAACTGCTTTGTAAACTGAGAAATATTAAGTATTTCTCTATACCAAGTGAAGATTGTAAAGGTGAAGCACCTCTGCTGCTTTAGTATAAAATTAATGCTTTATTAGTTTCCTTTATAAGACACTTGTTTCAAATTTTAACACTAACCAGTAACATAGTACTATTATAGAAGAGGGCTAATCATTGTACCAAAATATATTAAAAGTCTAACAGAAAGTGGGGCGCCTGGGTGGCTCAGTCGTTAAGCATCTGCCTTCGGCTTGGGTCATGGTCCCAGGGTCCTGGGATCGAGCCCCACATTGGGCTCTCTGCTCAGCGGGAAACCTGCTTCTCCCTCTCCCACTCCCCCTGCTTGTGTTCCCTCTCTCGCTGTGTCTCTCTGTCAAATAAATAAAATCTTTAAAAAAAAAAAAACTAACAGAAAGCACACAGTTAATTCTGATTTTTAAAACACAGTAAAATTCTTTATTTCATGAATAATTCGACTTCAAAACTTAAGACAAATCCATAATACTTATCATCTAAACTGTTCATTTAAATATTCACTTGTTAATAAGCTCATACCCTGCTTTCCCATTTGAATTATAAATTACCTTCAGAAACTATGTTATTTTGCGACTTTAAGAGTGTTTGTGTGTGTGGGTGTGTTTAATAGTGACTAAACTGAAGCTAGGGAAATAGAACAGGGAGAAAATGAGACTAGAAAACAACTTCAGAGAAGAAAGCAGAATCTACAAACTAGCTATAACCTTCTGTTGAAAAATAAAGTGGTTTTACCTTACAACCAAAGGGATTTAAAAAGTACGAAAGAAAAGAAAAGAAATAACTTATAAACAACGCGTGAAGACATCTTTTTTCACATTTATAGTTATGTAGGTAGAAATATTCACAAAGCAAAAATTAAGAGTAGACCACAGAGATAAATTATAACACAAGTTTTCCAAAAACTGAAAATATTCTAAAAATACAATGCATTCAAGATACAATATCTAGCACATTATACACCCACAATGCTAGTAGTGTTATAACGCAAGAGAGTGAAAAATAAGCAAATAAAGAGTCCTTTCAAATCTACTGATTGCCCCCCCCCGCCACCAAGGACTTAAAAACTGTGGGCAAAAAAACAAAACACACCTTTTTGGGAAGAGGTTCCTCGTTGGTCATCTTGAATCCTAGGAAAAAGGGGCAGAGAAGAAGTTCAACTGATGTTCTTCCAGTTAAGGTAGTAACAAGAAATAGTGGCTTTTCCAAACCAATTTATTAGGGAACTCAGATTTGACCAAATCATTATTTATTTAATAATAGTTTTAGATTTACAGGAAAGTTACAAAAATATTACAAGGTTCCTGTATACTCCACACCCACCTTTCTCCTTTGTTAACACCTTACATTACCGCTGTTCTTAAGTTATTAAAAAAAATTCCTTTGCAAAAAAAGTTGATCATTCCTTTTGATATTCCTATAAAGGACTGACAGAAATGTAAATTTTCAATGCATTCTTACAACCACCCTATAAGAAAGACAAATCTCACAGAAGTGACATCACTGTGCTAAAGTCAGACACTGACCTCAGGCAGTATCCCAGGCATCTTGCTGAAAGGATATGAAGTATAGTTCCAGTTGCTAAGACTTTCCTTTTACAGCATCATGTTGTTATAGTAAGATAGACAGACTCTATCATTGTGATAATTCACTACTGTACAATGCTTACATATATGATATATATTTACACCTTAATAAAATATTCCTACACTATTTAATCTCATGCCACAGAATTTGCATCTCAAATTAGTTTCATAAATTTATACAAAATTTACTTAACAATAGCAAAAGATAGGTTATACAACAGAACTCTCATTAACTTTATTATGCTCACTGAAACACTTCTACTTCCTAATATTCAAATAAGGACACAAACTAATTTAAATTTATTCCTAGGTTTTATTTCCAACAGCTTTGTCATGAATCTTCCCCTTATATTTTACACTTCCTTTATATTCATTTTACTAAAAAAAAAAAAAAAGATATATTCATTTTACTTACAACAAATTCCAAGAGATGTACAGCATGGTAACTATAATTAATAATACTGTATTGCATGTTTGAAAGTTGCTAAGAGAATAAATCCTGAAGGTCTTCAAAAGGAAAAAAGTAAAAGAACTTTTTTCTATGTGGTAACAGATGGTAACTAGGCTTAAAGTGGTGAACATTTCACAGAATACACAAATATCCATTATGTTGTACACCTGAGACTGACCTTACATGTCAATTACACAATTTTTTAAAAATTAGCCAAAGAATTTATAGTGTAAAACTGAATTTTTAAAAGCTACTGGACTTCATATTATTTGAGTTCCTCAAAAGGAGATAATCTTCCAATACCATTTTTTATGTTACATACCATCCCAACTCTGTAAATCAGATATTCCATTCATAAACTGCCATTAAAACCTCATTTCCAGACTAGATATACTGTGTTGAAGAAATCAGTACATTTTAGAAAAAAATCATAAACTGATCATATATTATATAGTAATATAATTCTTAATATAATTCTGGCTTAATTCTTCCCTCTTTAGTAATCTTATCATTGGATGCAGCAAGCAAAAACCTGAGTATGTCATTTTTTTCTGAGCTAATCAAGCTGATCAAGTCTCTGGCCAATATCTATAAAGACATAACCATATTTCTACGATTTAAGGTCTGTATGGTTTTCTAATTTCTTCCTTTAAATTGGTCCCTGTTTACTTTAGACCTCTTCTTGTTGCCCAGTTTATACTCTGTGAGAAGTAGTGGACAGCGCCTTAGTGACTATCCTAACATGATCCCGGTGATTCCAATCATTTGGGAAACAAACCTTCACCATGTTTATCCCCACAGAGATCTACTTCTATTTTAGTATGTTTAAAGTACATTCACTCTACTTGACTGCAACCTATTGGAACCCAGAAATCAAGCCTGGCATTTCCCTGGAACTTCCCATTTGTCTAAGCTAAATATAATAGGTAAACATCGATTCTAGCCATTTGAACTTTTAGCCAATTTAACTAGTATATGTGTACCTATATATGCCACTAACCTGATTAAATCCTTCTAAAGGCTCCCATCTCACTCAAAATAGTGCATACCAATCCTCTGCTATCCCCTCACATCAATCTTTATTTTTCTTCATAGTTCTTATCATGATCTGATACTTTACACACTTATCTGTTTCTCCCAATTATAAAATAAGCTCCTTGAGAGCTGTTTCATTCACTGCTAATGCCACAGTACACAATAGGCACTCAAACATATGCTGAATGGAAATATGAACAAATGAATTTGCTTCAGTTACTACTGAAATCATTAATAGTGAGCTAAATAACCCAATATAATTTTCCCCCAAAAATAACCATGATGACCTACTGTAAAATTTTGAGAATGTGAAACCTAATGTAACAGATACTGTGATAAAAGGCTGTAAGTGACAGTTTGAAAATTTACCACTGCGGAGAGTCTACCTGTTAACTAGTTAACGGGCACTATAGCTACTCAAAATCTTAGTTATAAAACTTAAGCATTATGGATGTTACTCAATATAAATTCCAGTTATAAACTAGTAAATGCTTCTACAACATGACACTCTCCCCAGGTTTATTTATTCATTCTTTCCTTAATACATATCCAAATTATTCCATTAAAATAAAATTAATTGCAAGCTTTATTAGCAACAAATAAGCTACTGTTTTTAACGGGCATTGAAAGGACTAGGAAACACAGGAAAGAAGTTCTAGTAACCCTGCTTTTCTATAAGAAGGTGGAAACTATGAAAACAAAAAAAGCCACAGAACTTGAGCGTCAGTTTCCCATCCCAAAATGGATTACCACCAAGGCTCAAAATTATTCAGCTACTTCTAAAGATAAACTATATTAATCTTTAATATGGTGACTAACACAAAATAAGCAATTATTAGTTTCCTTCTCCCCATAAAAAAAACAAAGACTCTCAATTACTACTTCTTGAAGAAACTGAAGGTAGAAGTCAAAGGCTGAGATAACAATGAAGACCTGCTGCTCCTGTCATTTTTTTTTTTTTTAAGATTTATTTATTTGAGAAAGAAAGAGACAGAGTGGGAGAGGGAGAGAGAGCAGCAGGCTCCCTGTAAGCAGGGAGCCCGATGTGGGGCTTGATCCCAGAACCCTGGGATCATGACCTACACCTGCTCCTGTCTTTGTTTCTAAGCCCTACTGCAGAATTCTTGGTGATCTCCAATTTTTTAAATTTTTTAAACACTGGTTTATATTCCCTTCTAAAAAGTTTGATGGTGGACAAATTTTAATTACACATCGCTCAAAGAATGTGTATATTTTCTTTATAAAAATAAATTTGTGGCATACGCCAAAGATAAAAGCAGTTTTTGTATAAAGGTTTGCATTTCATGTTGACTCTGAGTCACATGTCATTCCACATGTTATAGAATATATGACTTAGGAATTCAAAGGTTAAGCATTTTGAAAGAAATTCCTCCCTGATTTTTAGCTACTGAAAAATCAATCTTTCCTTCAGAGTCCATAATATGCCATAAGAGTTAAACAAGCAGCTTGGCAAAAGGCAAATTAGAACAGGTTTAAATTTAAAAGTATCAACATTCAACTATTTAGTCAAAATAAAATTTGGTTCTCAAATTTGACTTTCACATTGCATGAATATAATAAGAAAATTATTCCCCAAGGCAACCTTTAAATTACAACTGAAAGCACAAGAGTCATCTAAAATCAATTCTAGATTCATGAAGACAATGTACATCCCAGGTTCTTAGATCTGTTTTTGTATCAGAAAAATGGAGTAACTGAAATATCTGGAGTTGAATCCTGAATCTTGGGGGGAAAAATGAGTATATACTCATTGCTGTGAGTCACACACTTAACAATCACAACTTTTCAAAGTCAAAGTTAGCCTCCATTTTCCAGATGATGAAAATGATTATGAGTCACTAAATGATTAACTGGTCAAAACAGCTATTAATTAATAAATTGGGGGTTAGGACCCCAAATGCAGCACCTCTCTAAAGTTGGTAACTGAGGAAGATGGATTACTCTTCCACTCTTCCATCCTCGATAATGAATAAGCTTAACTAACTAAAGAACACAGAAAAGCAAAAGAGAAAAAACTTAAAATTGGCCAATATGGCTACCTTTTTGGAGGTTTAAGATTGGTTAAAACATGGTCTTAAAATTATGTAAAGGTTTCAGTTATTCACATGCATTAATTCAGGATAATCTCTTAAATTCAGACCTCAGAATCACTATGTACTCTTGATGTCTTTTAACACTGACAAAAACTTTACGATGGAGAGTTCGGTTTCAGTTGGCTAGGTGCCTAGCATCCCAGATCACAACACTTCCCTGGCTCTTAGCATTATGATCCTAAGTTATGCAACTCAGTTCTCTCTTAGAGAGGTGAACACCAGCCAACACAATTTGAAAAAGCATGTACCTCACTGAAACTAATCCTAACTAAACTCAAGAAACTAATAATCCGACAGCAAACCACCTTGGCTCTATAGTAAAAAGGGTATTACAGTTAGGAATCAGACGACCACCTTTTCCTGACTTTTATCAGTCAATGGATCTTGAGCAAGTCACTTAACTCAGGGCTGCAGTCTCCAAATCAGCAAAAAAAAAAAAAAAGGATACCAATTTTGCCTGCCTTACAAAGTGCTGCAAATCTCAACGCTCAAGTGCCATAAAAATGTTACACAAAGGATTTTTCAAATAAAATATCAACATCAAAAGATAATTTTAATGCGCATTTTTAAAAATTAAACTAAGTTCCACCAACTACATGTTCAAGAGTGAATATTTATAGCACCCAGTTCTAGCTTGATGAACCAGCTTAATATCCAAGGGTATATACGGTTATGGGAATACTGAAAAGTTTTTCTGAGAAGCTGAGTATCAGAAAACATTTAGAGGCAAAAAAGTAGGAAATAATTTTAAAAATAAAAACAAGCATAAAACCCACACTATCTAGATCTTGTTTTGCTAAAAGACCCATCAACTTAAAAATTTTAAGAGTCAACTTTTTTCAAGAGCAAGATAACATACAATTATATGGGGTGCCTGGGTGGCTCAGTTGGTTAAGCGACTGCCTTCAGCTCAGGTCATGATCCCAGAATCCTGGGATCGAGTCCCACATTGGGCTCCCAGCTCAGCGGGGAGCCTGCTTCTCCCTCTGACCCTCTCCCCTCTCATGCTGTTTCTCTCTCAAATAAATAAATAAAATCTTTAAAAAAAAAAACAAAAAAAAAACATGCAATTATATGAAAATGCTAAGACCACCAAGTACAGGATATTTTCAAGGAGATTCTATACTACATACATACAAGAACACAAAGGGCTCTGAAACCTGTAACGTCCTGTACAAACATAATTACAGCTCTTGTCTCCACACTGTAGAAATTTTCTGTATCATATAGACCAACTCATTCCTAACACACAAAAATATTTGGAGCAGGCATGACTCAAAATTGAATCAGTAAAGGGGCGCCTGGGTGGCTCAGTCGGTTAAGCGTTTGCCTTCAGCTCGGGTCATGATCCCAGCGTCCTGGGATCGAGCCCTGCATCGGGCTCCCTGCTCAGTGGGAAGCCTGCTTCTCCCTCTGCTTCTCCCCACCGCTCCTTCTCTCTCTCTCAGGTTA